GTATATCATTTGTGCCCTTGTTGGCATAGGTTAATTGTGTCCCCTTGTTGGCGGTGTGAACCTTAGAAAGAGTACTGTTATATAATATTATATCAGCTAATAAGAATTTATAATAAGTGCATAATTATAAATTCCCAGCTACATCAGAGAAACAATCATCTATGAAAACTAAACTTTACCTTTGAGCACAGGGAAAGCAATTCAAGGAATATTGTGTGTTTCCACTGAATTCTTAGTTTTTGTTTTTGCCCTGAATCTTATTTTTCTGGTTTTGGCCTTGAACACTGTATGAGTTTTTGTTCGTCTCACCCTTAAAATAGGGTAAAATTGTTACAGTGTAGGACCTTGGGCAGCACACCCCTATCCAAATTTTATGAGATCTGGAGAAGATTTTTTCTACTCTCTTATTTTCCCAGAAAAGGTTAGGCCTGCATGGCCAGTCTGCAATTCTTGCTTCGTCATTTTTCTTTTTTTTTTTTTGCTAATATCCCAACCCTGCTATGCATATTAGAAGTAGACTGTAATCTAGCAGGAAATTTCTGAATAATAGTGGAAATCTCTTTACACATAGGCTAGCTAGTTCTGATTAATGGTACCATAATGTGCCCAGTGATAATAACAAAGTTTATTAGTGAGTGATTTAAACCAAGGAGATATTTACATTATTAATTTAAATCATTTTTAAGACTATTGTGTTACTGTCCTGGTGCCTTAAGTCGTATATAATATATAGCTACACTCAACCATATGCACACTGACCCAAGAATAACAATTTTGGAATGCAAGCTGACAGTATAACTCCCCCAGCCATGAATCCCTATATGGGTAGACTAGATAGGTAAATTATTTGCTTCATAGTGGAAATGCAGTCTACAGGTAAGCCAAACTTAAAGCAAGGGGCACACATACCCCAACCCATGGCCTGGCCAGTACCTTACACATATGCACAGCCATATCACCTGGGCAGTGACAGCCATGGACAGCTGTTTCACCCTTAGAATGGCTCATCAGCATGGCATAGCCATCAGCAACTGCCTTGTGGTTCCCAGCAAACAGCTCATACACTTAATGTGTGGAGCTGGAGCTTAAAGGAGTGCTTTGCAATCACCTCGGCAGCTAAGGGTCTTTGACATACGGGTTCATCTGTTCATAGACCCGATGGCTATGCACGCTGATGAGCCTAAATAAAGGCAAAACAGGAGTCCATAACTGCCACTGCCAAGATGCATGTGTGAGATACTGGCCAGGCTGTGGGTTGGTGTGTGTTTGTGCCCCTTGATTTAAGTTTGTCTTGTTCAACAGGTACCCTACTAAAATGGTTTGTAATAAACAATGCTAAAAGATCACGTGTGGTAGCCAATCTTTTATGGATAGGGCAAAACTCTCTCTGAAAAGGGGAGAACTGCTATGATAGCAAGGGTGGTGCAGTGGTGAAAGCATTCCCCTCTAACCAATGTGGTCTGGGCTCAACAACTATTGGCAGAGCTACTTCAGCTAAATTTTTCTTGGAAACACTAGACTAAACTCCACAAATTTCCCCTATGCTAGAGTAGATTTTAGGCTGAGGTGCGTAAATACAAAGTTAGTATAGGTAATAGCATGATTTGTAGTGATATTTGGCATAAAAACCACGAGTGATATTTCGAAATTGTTATAAATGAAATATCACGAGTGGTATTTATGCCAAATATCATGTACAAATCATGCTATTATTTGTTTATACTACTACCCACAAAAGGTTTGTAATTTTCACATGTAGGTATTTCAAATTAAACTGAAATACCACTGCTCTAAGCCAATCAGATTGCAGAAATTTCTCATGTAGTAGTATAACCGATTTAAGTTATTTTATATATCTGTCTGGATTTCATACAAGGTGCCTGTACCGAGTCTCTAGACGGTCAAGTCTAAGGAGCCATTACTCACCCTCCCCACCCATGAAGTTTATGACTAGTCAATCACTTCCCCCAAGTTCTGCTAGTAGTGTTATGATTATGAGTCACCGCATTGATTTGGCTGGCCTGTAGGCCACAGGAAAAATTATCTGACTTTGCACTGCTTTCTGACATAAAAGTCTAATCAAAGTGACAAATTCTCCCCTCCATACCCCCCTGGTTTTCGCACAAAACAAGGAAGCCACTCACCCACGGATAGGTCTGGGCCTGGGCTCTCAGCTGACACCTAGCAAGACGCCAAGCCCCCTGGTTTTTTCTCCGGCTACACTGGCTTGAAGCGAAAACTTAGCAGGCACCTTTTAGCAAAATCACACAGACATATATGTAAATACTTGTATTCTAGGTAGAACGTATTTCGTAGAGCGCTCAATTCATTTAATTGAAGAGCATATTTCTGAGTGGCAATTCCCGGTTTCCCTAGTTGATCTTCAGAATTGATCAGTTTATCGGAAAATAATACAATATTCTAGATAAAACTCTATGATTAATATACCCTATACCACAGTAAACTACCTGAAAACCATACCCTTCACAGCGGCACATACCTATATAGCCCATATATGTCTACACCCCCTGCCCGGCCCCTAACCCGGAGCCTCGAGCAAGCAGCCTCCACGTACCCGAGTCAAGGCGTCAGTTTTCACCGACCAGTAAGAACGAATTGCCTTCTAATAACGTTTAGGTTTCTTGTTTCATTTCTTCAAATGGGTTCATAGACGGAGCGCTGTCACAGTGATATGGGCACGGCCCATTCCCAAAACCGCAGTGATATGGGCATCCCCTGTAACCCTAACCCTAACCCAAATCGCTAAGGGATGAGAAGGGAATGCCCATATCACAAGGGTTTTGGGAGTGGGGATGCCTGTATCACTGTTAAAACAGCGGGGCTTCCTTTTTCGCGGGAAAAAGCAACCTCGTCCCCAGGGCGCTTTTTCAAAGCCAGGGAAAAAGGCGCCCTGGGCACGAGGTTGGGGAAAAAGTGCTCTGTCGTAAAAACACCGGTTCGGTGGGCTGGTAAAGGGTAGTGCTTTCCACAAGTTGGTCAAGATTTCCCGTGAAACGTTTCACGTAATTTCTCAAAAAGTGGCTCAGAAGTTTCTCAAACAAAAAGGCAAAAGTTGCTCTTTTAACTGAAGTTGCTCAAAAAAACCAAAAGGTTCCCAGCAGCACACCCTATCTAAAACAGTCACCGCTCCCTTCGTACCCTCCCAGCTGGGAGAAAAATACGTTATATCGTCAGTACCTCTGATGGCTGTGCAACTAAAACACAACGAAAGTTGTGTTCTGAAAAAAAAAACAGGTTTCTGCTTTTTCGAAATACAATCGAGAAAGAGTTCTTCAAAAACCGACCACGTCTGTCTTTATCCATGTCACTCTCCATCTCGTTCGTGGCAAACGCGGCTGCCGGGAGGAATATACAAAAAATAATTAATTGGCGCACGCGAATTTTGCCGGAGTAATGAAGATATCTTTTTTAGAACAAGAGTTTGTTTAAGTCATCAGGATTCGACTTTGATTTTTACACAGCTGTGGACACTTTTCAAACTGAATAACGTTTTTCAAAATGAGGTTATCATTGATATCAGATTAGTTTTATCGGCTATTGACCTGGTATGTGACCTGCAAGCTGAAGAAAAGACACACTTTTGTGCTTTTTAGTACAATCACGTCCAAATGAACGGCAAAGAAAAAGAATTGTTTTCTCTTAATAAGGTAAAATTTGCTAGCTTTCTGCAAATCTCAATTTGGTCGCCTGAAAATAAAAGGAAAACTAAAGTTACTTTCTTTTTGGGGTCGCTTGAGATAGAAAGGGGGCGCGCAAAGAATGAACATGTCTAATAAGCCGGTTTAATTGTTGCACTCTATGTTTTCTTTTAAAGTCTTCCTTTATTTAGATGTCAATAGAAGCCGAAAAGTAAACAAAAGAATAAAAGTTTATTTAACTAGCTAAAGGTACTTAGAGATTCAGGTTTCGTCAAAACAAAGGCATTTCAATACAATCTTAGAAAACGAACCGTGCCGACGCCAATTCGAAAGATCTAGATAGGCCCAACATTCTTCGATGCCTTTTTTGGAAAGCAGCTTTCAAGTTCAGATGGTTAATCTCAAGTTTGTGTGAAGTCCTTAGCATTTAGTCCTCCTCAGCTAGCTGTTTGCCGTGTATGTTACGTTCTAAAATTCGAGTATTGAGTGATAATGAAACAGAATTCACTCAATCAGATTACAACTCAAACAAACTTCAAGCTTGGTAATTCATCAGCTACTACAAACGGTGCACCTTACGATGCCTCGCTGGATACGATGACATTACTCGAGATTGTGGTGTTGTTAGTTACACTGGTGGCTGGTTTCTTTGGAAATGCGCTGATTGTCGGTGTGGTATTGAGCAACCGACAAATGCGCACACGAACAAATATATTTCTAACACAGCTCGCGATCACAGGAATGGGAGTGTGTTTATTTTGCATCCCATTCATGGTAACCGCGCTTATCAAGCAATCGTGGGTCCTTGGCGAAGCTTTCTGCAAGCTGAACGCATTTGTCGTGCCTTTCTGGTTCGCGTTGTCGATTTTTACGCTTACAGTAATCAGTGTACACAAATACTTTTCTATTGTTCATCCATTGAAGAAGATGATAACGCATGACCGCTCTTTATTGATCATTATTGTGGTATGGCTTTCGGCATTCGCGTGTGCCATTGGTCCTATCCTCGGCTGGACAGAGATAGTATACAAGCCTTCGTCAAGCATGTGCGGCCCTTCATATCCGCACAACGCGTCAGAAATGTCCCACACTGTGTTTCTGCTGTGCTGTGTGTACTTATTTCCAGTCTTAGCCATGACATTCTTATACTGTAGAATAGCTCGAGCAGTGAAGTTGCATTGTAAGAGGATCCGTGACACGGCTATCATTGATGATCGCGGCATTTTAGCGCAGAAAAAGATCATTATCACCCTTGTGTTTGTTGTAGCGGCTTTTGTCGCCTGTTGGACTCCATTCTTCATATACGGTGTCTTAACGCTGGTCACAGACGTCACTTTGTTTTCCCGCCATTTTCTGCGCTCTGCGTACATCTGTGGATTCCTGCACAGTGTGTGTACTCCAATCATACTAGGCGCGCGAAATCCTCGGTTTAGAAGAGGATTCAAGGAACTTGTCACCTTCCGAGGCATCAGGAGGAACTCACTCAGTTTTACCGCTGCGACAGCGGGAAGCTCTCAATGCGAGAGTCCGAGGCGTCCTTCGTCGGATTATTTGGCCGAGAAAAGGTGTTCCGTTTGGTTTCTGTCGAGTCAAAACTCGCTTTTAAGTTTGGAACCCGAACCTACTTATAGAAGGAGAAAATTAAGGTGGATCGAAACATATCTTTGAGAAAATTAACATCGTTAAATTCTAAGGAAGTCATGTCTCGCAAAATGTGCTAAGCCTTGAAAAGGCGCTCAGATTCCCGGGGGGCGGGGTATTCCTGGCAATTCGTGGTGGGGGTGTGTCGCCCGGTTCTCCAAATCCTGACCCTATTTCAGACCCAGAAATTAACATTTTCCACACCCGTGTTTAGATCTGGTCTCTAAAATCCATACCCGTTTTCAGACCTGGCGTATGCAGAAATTATGTTATCATTGGCTTAGATTAGAAAGCCAAGAAAAAGATTTCTTAAAATGCACCTCGAATTCGCATATTACTCTTTCTTTCTTATTCATTTGGAATTGAAACGATAAATACGTTCATGCATTCCCTCGAAAACCATCCCCGAATTCAGACCAAAATTGGCAAAGTCTATACCCGTTTTCAGGCTTTTTCAGACCAAAACGGCCCAAAAACCGTACCCTTTGGGGCGGCGTGACGTATCTATAAGGCAAATATAAGGGAGTACCCCCTCCCCCCAACCTCAGATTGTACAGTGTGGACAGGTCACTTTTGGTTCAGCGCGGTCAAACGAGAGAAATTTGAAAAAGCTTAGCAAATTTAAAGCGAAGGTTTGTACTTTCACTGTTAAAAGGTCACCAGCGACCTGTTAGTTTACTAAACTTTATAAAATTTTACTTTAAAAGCTCTGATAAGTCTGAATATCGAAGCTGGTGTTATTGTCGGCGCCATTTTCCAGCATGATTTAACAAAGCGTTTAACAGCGAAAAAAAAAAAGAAAATGTTAAGGAAAATGAAACAGCGTTAACGGATTGATTTATACACCTTTTGCCCATGTTTATACTTACTACCAAATGAAATCTCACCAATTAAAAAATAAAAAATAAAATAATAAAGCTTGTAGGATATTCTACCCAGTTTTTTTTTTGCGCAAATTATTGTGTAATTTTACTACAAATTTTAGTCGGTGCTACAGCTGGTTATACGGTTTGCCGCCCAGCCAAAGCTTTTATGTTTTATTCTGGGCATCCAGACGTTTGTGCTGCCATAATAATAGACGTTTTAGACGTTTGACCGCGCAGTGGAACCAGTTAGGGAACATAATGATTCTCCCGGCGCTTGAATATCATGTTGGGGTTGTGTAAAGTAAGGTTTTTTGCTTGGTGGTCTAAAAATGGCCTTGTGAGGAGCATTTGAATTTGCTAATTAATCGCTTTAGAATTTAAACAATTTTTGAACTATTCAAGATTAGACATACGTTATTGAATGCTTGGATCTAACAGCAATGACAGACAAACCTTGCATTCATGCTTGGTGACTTATTATTGTTATAAACTACATATATTTTATATTTTGACTTTTTGAACTTCTGTGTTTTTTTCTTTTTGCGTAATGACATTATTAGGTATTTGGTAAGCTTAAAATGTAAGAGATGTTGTAAATAAAGAATAAGAGAGAGAGTATGTGTCTTTAAGAGGGGTCAAAATTCATTCAATTTGTGGGAACAAAAAATGGAGAAAGAAAGGAGGTATCCGGTCACTTCGCTTCATGGTCAGATCGCGTTCCGCAATATAGTCAGAACTACTCACGAATCTTCAAGCCACGAGCAGAAAAAAGAGAGTCACTCATGTGTATACCTCGTTCTTTAAGCCAAGAGGCCAAAAAAGCGCTCTTCAATTCGCATAAATTTACACTGAAACTGTGGAACGATCTTACTAAAAAAAAAATGATCTGGCTTGGAACGTGATTTCGCTTTATCTAAATGAGCAGCTAAGTAAACCTTCATGAGGCAAAATTAAAGGAGTCCAATTAATTTTTATTTTGCGTCCTTTTTATCATCCAGGTTTGCATACATACACCAAATTTCCAAACTCAGCCATTGTATCATGACACTTAAAGAATGTCTGGAAAATTACTTGGTGCACAGCGCACAAAATATTTTCGATGCGCGCGAGAAAATGATTGCGTAAAAAAGTCAATTATGACGTGGAATAAGAACCTGTATAATTGAGACAAGGTTTATTTCGAATAGAAATAAGCTCTTAAAATTTTCCGGGAAGATTTGTTGGTAAGATGCTTTCAAAAATACTGCATGTTTTCTTGTACTTTATCACATGCTGTGGTCTTCAATCGTGCAGCACTACGAACCGAACTCGAACGAGGACAGAAAATGAGCAAGACTTAGAAGGTGGTGTCAGACTCGACCCAATCGCAGACCCTGAAGAAGAACGCTCATATGGAGCCAGTTCTGGCTTGAACTGGTTTGGTGGAAGATCAAAACGGGGAATGGACTACAGTGTTACCACGGATCCGCGTCAGAGAAGGGAAACAAGGCGTTGCTCTTGGGTCCGAAGAAACAAAATTTCTCCATCATTTTTGCCTGTCGCTGGGGAACACTTGGCCGATAAATCTGATGTGAACAGACAAAAAAGCAAGGAGCAAGGCAAAAGGCTGGATGTCAGTTCCGTCCAGGACGCAAATGACGAAATTGTTTTTGGTCTTTTTGAGACAAAAGATAGTTTTTCGGAGAGGCAGAATAGCGCGCTTGCTTTGCGAACTTTTGCAACTTGTGCTCGCTTGAATGCGAATTTCATGCGCCAGACCGCTTGGACTCCGACAACTGAATCTGAGTGCGATAGTAATGGGACAGCATGTTCTCCTTACAGTCAAAGAGAAGCAAAGGCAAGACAGTCGGTTTGGTCGAGGATTACTTTCGCTTGGAATGTGGTCAGAAGAAGAATTTTTGATGCAGGGGCTAGATTCTCTCTTAAATGTGGCGAGGGCTTTCCTGGTACAAGCACTGAAAGAAATGATAACGGCATCTCTGATGACAAAAAGGAAAGACCAAAGATGTATTCCGAACATAAAAAAGGTGCAAGGAGTTTCTTAAGAGTCGGTAAATTTAATAATAAAGGTTTACGTTCCTCTAGGTCGACATCAAGGAAGCCTGTAGCAATTCATAAGCTTGGAGAAAACGAGTCAACTAATTTTGACCGGAATTTGTATATGCGCATCAACAAACTCACTGTCACTCATGACATCTGTCAATCTTCGTTAAGTGATCCTTTTTTTGTCCAAGAAGGCGCGGTTATTAAATCTGATGTGCCTGTCACTTATATCACAATCAATTCGCAAGGTACTGATAAAGGGAGCTCCAATGAAGATAAACCTCGATTAAAGAATTTCTTCGGAAGATTTACGCGAAGAACTGGAATATTTGACTCGAATTAGGAAGCCTGAGGGCAAGCTTGGAGTTAGCTTGCGTTTAAATATCGATCGAAAAAGTACAAGACTGCACTTCAGCCAGATGCATATATTTGAAATAGAGATAATTCTCGTCGTATATTTCTGAATATATAGTTTCTCATATAGTTCATGTTCAAAAGACATTTTCCACCCGCCTCCAGATCAGATATATTTTTAGTTAACAAGGACGGTTTTACAACAGCATGTGATGGCAAAAATCGTAGTCCTTTCAAAACAAAATGGAGGGCACAGCGGCGAACTTTTTGAATAGGACTACTGTGTATGTATATCACTCTCAATTTTCTCTAAGATTAAAGGTCATCGTTTCAATAATGATCCACAGTCTCAAAAACAAGAATGGTCTACTGATTGTGGCCATGTGGAAATGTGTACAAGTAGTAAGTTAGTTACACGGTGAGTTGATCGCGTTTTTGGTTTACCTTTCAGTTTTTTACAGCAGCTATACGCGGGAGCTTGAAAATAAAAAGGCGACCTCAATATATTTACTCATTAAAGATGTATTGACTGAAGCCAGCCTATAAAATGACTTGATTCGTTGATGTGTAGAAGAAGTAAAATTTTCATCCATCGTGTCCACTTGTACTAGTAAACCAGAAACTCCAACGTTCATTTAGTAGCAGGCAATTCTTTTAAGACTCACAAGAACATGTACACGGCCCACTCGACAGCCAGCGCTAAAATCGCCAAAACTATTAAAACCGCGTTGCTTTCTCTTCGTCTTGTATGTCGTAAAGGTCCCCATGGAATCAGATCATTTATAATCAAGAGTCCAAGGACGATTATTGTAGAAACGAAGGCAACACGAAGCGTTGGATGGTCGTAATCGAACAACAAGTTCTCCATTCTTTTGCGCAGAGACAACTACGATCGGGAGATCGTCGCCGTTCAGTTGTAATCAAAATGTCTTGAGGACTGAGTGTGAACTAAAAGTAGTTTTTTAGTTTAGCTTCCAGTAGGGTGTAGTACAGTAAACCTTCGTTACTCTCTCGGCGAGTTATGATTTTAAAATCAGCTTGACTAGGACAAATTAAAGAGAATTGGAACCTCTTCCAAACTCTTTTCAGTTAAATAAATTATGCAAGGCGTAAATCAATCGAAACAATATTCATAAATCCGTGTCACCTGCGTGCAGTATTATTTGCATATAATTTTTTTCCTTTTCTTTGTTCACTACACCGGCTTCTTCTTATCTCTCGTGTCGCTATTCTGACCGGGGCAGGAAACTGACTGAAAAAGTGAACACACGCAGGCTTCGAATTTGAAAAGAATTCTTTTTTAAATCTTGAAGTTCTAATAGCAACAGTTAATCTATTAGGGTAAGAAATGGCACTGATTTGTTTTATTGATGGCTCCCGGCGAGGTTGCCGATGATCACTGACGGCAAGGACTGAGCAAAGTAACCTCTAAACGATTATGTTAGTTTTCGTCTTGAGTCGCCTTTCCTTCGCGAATAGAAAGCCAGTCCAAGGGCTTCTTAGTCCGTTTACGATAATAAGGTCTAATAAAATAATAAGAGGGCTATGGTCACCTTATCAACTCAGTTATCCGCACCTTATACAGAAGCACCCAACCACGGTTTCTTCCTAAATACATTGAAAACACTTTTTAGGTTATCCAGAGTGCTTTTAGTTCTCTAGAAATGCATTCTAAGATCAGAGGCGCTGTAAAATTTGTGCCTGTTCGGTCATCCTAGGGGCACATGTGTCTTATCGTAGTTACAAGGGCTTCAGTATCATTTGCCAGAAAATTTTAGGTGAAATTTAACTTATTACGGAAGTGAGAATTTTTCTGATTCCTTTCTCCAACACTGACGTGTTTGATTCCTAAAATTTTAGGCTTTTTCTGTACAAAAAATAGCGTAACCTTGGCAGTGAAATGTGAAAAATTAAATTCCAGAAAATCGTAGCGAATTCATTAGATAGGCTTCGAAAATTGTACATGAATGGAACGGTCATCTAGAAATTTTTAGCCGTCCTCATTCAAGTATAAAAAGAAACTTCTAGGCAATATCTACTTCTCTGAACAGATATTTTACAGAAAACAGTCGTTGCAGCTTTGCTCTCTCTATAATCCTTTCCAATAAAAACCCATTAAATGGCCATAAATTGAGTCGGAAACCACACAGGAAAGAAAAAACACACAACTTAACTTAAGGGAGGTTAGCTGATTATTTTTGTGAAAGGGTATATCATATCCCTACGGAAATATACTGCTTAAGAGAGTATTCATTCTTACTATTTCCATTACAAAAGTCAACCGCTCAGAATGCGATCACCTCCTCCTAATCCTCACTAATGGAGGATAAGGAACGGTCATCAATCGCCAGCGACCAATTGCCGTGAAGGCAAAGTCGTCGACGTGCTTCGCGCTCAGAGGTGAACGCTTCGCATCGTCATCACGGTTGATGGGGTTGTCTTTGTTAGGGTACAAAGACGGGACGCGTACTATAGAAATGATCCTAGTAAGTACGGTCTTGAAGGACAACGTGGTCTATTGGAACGATAGGTTAAAAGTAAATATTCTGTACATGTGGGAAAGGTTTGTGAACGAAGTCAACACGCATGCGCAATATCATAAATGACTTCGTTGTGAATCGTGGATCGTTTCTGACGTAAGCTTCGCTCTTCCCACATTTATTTTTATTAGTAGTTATTCCCTTCGCCTTTCCTATGATATGAAGAATTATCATCAAGATCGAGTAGGGTGTTGTTCCGGCGTAGATGGCCTCCGTTACAGCTGGCCCAGGCTACGTATCGTCAAGATCATTTGTGTAGTCCGCGCAGACGCTGAAAACATATGGTTAAGGCCGTCTGCGACGCAACCTAGCTACGTAGGCGTAGAGGGCGCTCCCCAAAACACTCTCCTCATTTGTATACCACAGGGGGAAGGGCAGGAGGTTTTTCGGGAGGGGATCTTAGTATTTTTTGGAAGAAAAAAGAATGGATGGAAAAAATTTCTAAAGGCAGGAAGGAAACTGATTCCAACTTTTCACCGAAGCAACTTCTTCCATTTTTGTTTTCAGAATAGCTGCAGAGTCTTAAATCAATTGAAGTCCAAAGTTTTCTTCCCAGGGACAAAATAAAGGCATCTTTGAAGGCTGTGCAGAAAGCACCGTTTTTGATTCGTTTCATGAGAAACCAAAATTTCAACCAGAGATCTCATACTGGATAGTATATAACCATGACATCCCAATATGGAGGCAGCGTAGTTGAGAGATTAGTACGCTGGACTTGCAATTCGGACGCTCCGAGTTCAAATCCCACCCTGACCGCCAGCTGGATTTGTTCTCGGTAGTCCCGATCGAATCCTCGACCACGCTTGTAAATAGCCAGCTGGTTTATCTCCGGCCAGTTGGAATTCTTTACCCTGTTAGCTTTCATTTATGAAATATTTGTTTCAGGCATTTGCTCAGCCCTATCAATGCTCAGTACTGCCAAGGGTAAACAAAAGATATTATCGTTATCGTTATAATGATCATAATAATCATTATCCTTATTACTATCACTATCATTATTATTAATATTAATATTAATATTATTATATTTTGGAATCTCAGGCTTAAAAGGTTTACATTGCCCGGTAAATTACCCCTTGGGAGCAAGCAACAAGTTCCTAAAGGTGTCAAAGGAGTCCTTACTTTTGAGTCCCTAAATTGTCAGAACTTTCCGTAACAGTCCTTTGTCTTTTACTCGGGCATCTCCAGGGATAGCGATGTCTATGATCTTAGCTTCCTTTGCCTGCTTATCATGAACGAAGATGATGTCCAGCCCTGTAGCTTCAACCATCCTATCACACTGTTTATTGAAATCCCATGGAACTTTAAATCCTGTAGTGATTTTCTACCACTTTCTCTGGGGTATTCATAATTGTACCACTGATCTTCCCATTCCAGTTCTGTCTTCCCACACAGTTGCCAATGCACATACCACGCCACATTGTCTAGTGTCGTTCTCTTGTCCTCAAGCTGGGCTAACTTGTACATTCACCTTGTTAGGTGACTTAATTACACTTTCTCCTTTTTCCCCCACACTTTCTACATATAGATGATTCTGAGGACAGCCTCTGAGCTGGGACAAAAACTCCGAGTTCCTTTCGAATTTTTTGTGGAGTCGAATGTTAAGAAGAGGTTTCCACACAAAGCCGGGGGCTTTGATTTCTGGGGCTTTTCGCGGTTAGACTGCGAGCAATCTCTACTAGAAAAGGTCCAAAGAGCGTTCTGATACAGTAAAAAACTGATCCGCGAGTAAGAACCAGGGCCCAGTTGCTCGAAGCATGGTTAGCGTTAACCAGCGTTTAATACCTTGACAACGTATTGGTTTTGATACTGCTTAACCAATGGTTAAAGCTAACCATGCTTTGAGCAACTCAGCCCATGCAGGTTTTTAATGAACTGTTAGGCTAAAATGTGCCAGTTGGCCCCTTCTATACAAAAACCTGTTTAGCTTAAATATTTGAAGCAGGTTATTATTTTCTAAAATCTATGTGAAAAAATTCTGTACACTTAAGCAAATAAGATAAGTCAACATCTAGCTAAGGATCCTCTTTAACGGTTCTCTATCACTCCTACGGTAATAATTGTATGCAGGATTTTATGTAAGGAGTAAGCTGAATACCACTAAATACTCTAAGGTGCAATGTATTTTTTCTTCAGATAATAAGAACTTATTTTTAAATTAATTTTTTAAAAAAAAAACTTAAATAGCCTAAATTTGTGCTAATTACTATCTATATAAGAACCTGTTTAGGCTAACTTGGAAAAATGCAGGTTCTTTTACTCACAGGTTTTTTGAATAATAATGATGCATGTATGCGAGATTGCGAGTGTGCGAGCGGCTAAGCCACCAGCTAGTTCTGCAGGCCATATCGCGCTTTCTCACCGATTTTCGAGCGAAAGGGATCCTGTTCGCTAATCCAAATTTCACAGAAAAAGCGGTGGCCGCAGTCTGCTCAACCGACCCCTTAAATCATGAGGTTTTGAATCCATATTGAGGGGGTTGAATTTAGAGAAAATGTACATGTAAGTCATGTAAGGGCTTTCTTTGCCCAGGAACAAGGCAAACCGTTGGTGTCCGGATTAAACGGGTGTCCGTAAAGTAGCTACGGTTTGACTGTATCCAAGCTGTGCATGTAACTGTACCCTATATGGGACAATTAATGTAGTCTGTCTTCGTCAATGTTGGCCAAACATTAATGTCTGAGATACATTATTCCATACTGGACGCACGTGGTAAATGATTAATAAAGCACGTGCAGTAGTTTCACGGGTTTGCTATTGGTACATCAGACTGTTATTTCTTCTTGTGAAATTGACAACTGAGGTATATACTTACTCGCAGTATATTCTGATCTATTTCTTCTCGTCTGGACTTCTCGAAGTAGACAAAGTAAGTAGCAGCTGACAGTACATAACTGAAAATGCAAATTTCTTTGTTTTTGCTTTTAACCTTTGTTACGTCGGTTTGGGCTAAAGCATTATTCAGTCACAGAGTGATTATAGTATTTTGCTACCTGTCTGACCGATGTATTGGTTGCAAAATTTTCTGCAGGAGAAAATATTTACGCCATGGCCTCTTCAGATTAACCGCCCAGCTTTAAAAAGTTCTGGTCCACCTGAATTATTAAGTTCGGCTGCTGTTAAATTCAGTTGAACTCTGCAGCCATGGAAAATATATAGGACCGTTTATTTTTCTCAGCATGTGATGTGCGGCGCTTGAGTCAGTCAGTTTAAGCTCGGCAGATTACCTTGCGTCGCCTAAGATAAGGGGATAGTGGTACAGAAGGTGCTACAGTATCACAGTGCGGTTAGGTCACTCATAGGTCGGGTATCTCGCTAGAAATCCTTAAATAAAAATGACCGAGACCAGGTTTTATGAGTCCGCGAGACTGAGCACTCCATCTAAACCCTTGTTTTCACTAAAACCCGCTGGATGCTACAACCTGGTTGAGGTCATTGTTATCTAAGGTCTTCATCTCGCTCAGACTTTGTGGGTCATGTAGCAGCTCTCCTTACCCTATTGGCCTTTAAAAGGCCAATAGGTTCGATACCCTAACCGTGAAACAATGAGAATAATGGTAAACAATTCTGAGACCAATAAGGAAACATCTTTCACTGTCACGCCATCAAAAATAAAAATGCAAACCAGTCAATAGAGAAAGTCCAGAATCTGGGAAATGAAAGAAGATTAATATAAAAAAAGCGGTTAGCCTCGCCATGAATCAGGTCTGTGCGATAATACATATGTGAGATACTCGAAAAACGTTTCACCCAAATTTTTAAGGCTTTGTATGGAGAAGCCAAGGTTGGTGGTGTCCCTCTGAGGGGCACAAATATGGATGTCGGAAACCAACAGAAACATCCTTTTTTGAGTTTTGCTAGTTAATTCATCGCTTGAGGAACTCATAAAGATTAAAGTAATATTTATTCTAAGATAAGGATTGTTTAGATAGCAAAATCTCAAAAAATCAGTAACCGACACATAAGATGTCGCGTCACGCACAAGGTTGGAAATTCAAGTGTCTTCTATCGCAAAACAAAGAACCCCTTGGAACCGAAAATTTGTGTAAATAAAGGTTTTCAGGTGCTGTAATACCTCATGAAAGTAGAAACTCAGAAGAATCGATAGTTTCTTAGTTTTAATTTCGGTGACCTCATGTGCAAACACCTAATAGTAATAAGGGTTAAGAAATACTGTTTAGGTTAAGTACTGAAAATAGTGATTAGGGTTAAGTGCTGACTCGAAGCAGTTAGCCTCTATTTAAGGTCAAGGTTGTTGCTATATAGGTTTAAATCAAACCATTACTGGCAGCAAAGTGGTATAGGCATGGACCACCGACTCTACGCTCCGAGTTCGATTCCCACTCACGCTCTGCTGAATTTTTTTTCCTTAAAAATTGAAGAGACTTACTCTTTCACTCATGAACATTTGCTGAGCAGAATTTCATTCAAGTGTAGTGTGCATGAAGCGATAAAGAACACTACGTTGTGTAAACTTCATAAGGGGACCAAAGGGTTTAGGTCGATGAGATCTAATGCTGACCTGTTGACAGTGATTACTCATTAGCATACGTTTATTCTTGCCATTGTCTCAGCTGAAAGATCATAACTCAATCAGCCAACTCAATAGATAATTGAGCCTGACTTTTTTGATATGTTGGAGAAATGTTGTTGAAAAAACTTCGCATATTACTATAGAAAGAGTGTCAACCTTACTGTGTTTTTACCACCCAGCGCCGTTTTTTGATGGCCGTCATTTTATCGCTCACAAATAAATCAGTTTGCACAGTTTAATCAGCTTAACAGCTCTTTCGGGTGCTAAAATCGCATGCGAATGCCGGCCAAAAAAGCTCCTAGCCAAAATGTAACCAACGAGACAACGATATCTGGACTAATCGTAATGTTTTCTTTTTTCCCCCTAGATTGTCTATTAAAGCTTTATCTTTGTCTTTTAAAATGGCCACCACAACTTACGAAGCATCCTACAAGAAGTACTTTGGAAACAGATTTGAAAACATCTCCAAAAATTCTTCAGATGAAGAAATTCGCCATCTTTATGATAAGTGGGCAGCCGATTATGACAAGGTATACAAAACTGCTTGTTAAATCCCTGCACCGCAACCCTGGCCAAAAGTCAGCTAAAGTCCGTGGGACAGTGATGCAATATTCTTAATTATCTGGGTGTCCCCTAGCCTGCAAAACAGGCCTTATTTTTAAGACTGTGCTACCTTTTGGAAAACAGCATGAAATTTTCTCTTCCCCTACTCTATTAGCGTCGAACAGCAGACGTATTTCCGGTCCTCGCTCGACCGGAAATACGTCTGCTGTTTGCAGGCTACTACTCTATACGTTGATGAAACTCGCGAAAAAGTCTGGATACTATGGGTCCAAAGTTGTTTTGTGATATGGGTGGGGCTGGGCATGGGTGGTTTTTAAAATGCCCCTGAAAACTGCAAATTAGCCTGTGGCACGCTCTCGCTGGTCAAAGCAGACGAGAGAAAAATGTGGGTGGAACAGCGAAAAACGGAGGGAAGAGAGAAGGGCAGAGCTTGTAAGCATCTTTAAAATATCTTATTCCTCCCACTAACCCGCGCACTTCCAGAAAAAAAAAAAACATTTCTCGTGTCAAAATGTGTTGTGTAGGAGGGTTTTGCACAGTGTTTGCCTGACTCTGCGAGCGCGAAGGCAGTGTTGACGCCAACTGCCAAAATTGACCAATCATATGGACTGGTATACCAGGAACTGGTATACCGGAATAAAGTATTAAAAACAATGCTTACAGGCTCTCTTTCCTGTCCCTTCCCAGTCCTCTTGAGGTTTTTGCGCAACTTTTCTCGATCTGCTTTCCCTGCTATCTTGCAGCCTGGAACAGGCTGAATGCAAGTTTGTCCCCGAGAGATTTATCCATGGTTGCAGGTCTTTTGTTTTGGGCACGGGTGATGGATAGGTCCTGAACACTCAGTTTATATTTATCACTGACTAATTGTCAGCTGTATAGATGCTCGCTGAAGGCCCATCCGCTTCAGGAAGGGTTTTTATACTTTGCAAATTTGTGAGTGCGCTTAGCATGCGCATGACACATAAGTATCTCAGTTACTTCTTCAGGTACTACTACAAATCCAAAAAATATATGCGCCGTTAAACAATAGCTATAATAACAGCCACAGAAATCGTACGAATGGGATATTCTACAAAACATCTCCAGATCGATCGGTCAATCTTTTCCTACGGGACCCTTGTCATGAATTATTTTGCGTATTTAATTTTTTTTTTGCGTCAGGTACGTAGGAAAGGACGCCGAGGTAACAAAATCACTGCGCCTTCTAAGCTTTCGCATGACGCAGCATTTACATGGTGACCAAGTGATCTGTCATGTAGGTTTAAAAAGTGACTCATTTTGGGGAATTTTGCTATCTGAACAGTTCTTTTATTAGAAGAATTATTACTTAAATGTCTATAAGAACCTCGAGAGACTAACTTATCTCTTACCTGAATGATTCACACTGTCGAGGTAGAACTCATAGACAGATGTTTCTGTTGGTTTTTGGCTGCCATGTTGGTGCCCATCCGGATGGGTAGCAACGTGGCGTCTCCATACAAAGCTCTATAAATTCGGGTAAAACATTTCTCCGAATATCCCAAATATGTAAAATTGCACTGACCAGAATCTTGGCGAGGGTCTTCGCATATTTATTTCCTTTCATTTCTCAGATTATGGACGTAATTTATCGAACGGTCTTGATTTTATCATGGTTTCACGGCATGACAGTGAAAACCAGTAATACGCAATAACAGCGTCTTGTTCAAACCAAGAGAGGATAAAGCTCAGAGAACGAATCCCCCCATACGGGCCTTATACGACTTATACCCGTCGTAATCCCTCTAAAGATATTTTTAGATCTATATGTGGATTCGTTTTCTGAGCTTTATCCTCTCTTGTTTAAACTTACCTAGGGATACATGTTGCAAAACGAAAATTGGACTCAACAACATTGACGACTTTAAATTCGTATTTCTAATTTTTAATTGCATGTCCCTTTAAGGAAAATGCCAAAGCAGGCTCGTGCTACCGCAAACCGCTCGCTGAATGCCTGGATGCTGCCTTGAAGGAAGCTTTTCCCAACACTCTCAAAGATCAACTGAAAATTCTCGATGCTGGAGCTGGAACGGGGATGACAGGGATCGAGCTACACAAGCTTGGCTATACTGATATCCACGCCCTAGATATCTCACAAGAGATGCTGAATATTGCTAAAGAGAAAGGCGTTCCGTACAAGAGGTTTGTCTGCACCCCACTCACAGAGCAGAGTATTGAGGAGTTTGAAACAGGAGAGTTTGATGCCTTGATTTCGGCTGGTGTCCTGGTAAAGGCTCATGTTCGTCCAGCGGCTTTTGTGGAGATCATCAGGATGGTGAAAACCGGTAAGACTGGTTTAAGTAACGGTAAAATAGGTAATTTGTTTTGTTTTGCAATTTTTTGGAAATAATGCTGCAAAACGAGTTGGAAAGCGATGTTGCGCGTTGTACCACTTATTTTAAATTCCCTCTACAAAAAATACAGCTGCAATTTGCGTGAATACTGCCTTTTGATTGGATGAAATTACGCGGGAGTCTCGCGTTACCCCGGAAGTTGCATCACCGACTTGCTGCAAAACAAGCTTGCTTTGGGCCGTTAAAACGCGAAACGTGTACAGACTTTGTTGCATAAATTAGAACTTCTTCCTACTTTTCTCCAACAACTGTTCGCAACTTGCAACAATATGATTTGTTGCCAGACAGCTTTCCTTTGCAGGTGGTAAAATGCACACAAGATCACCATTCAACTCTTTTAGCACGAGCTATGTTGCAAACAAGTTGCGCGTTTTTGTTGCCACCAGCATGTATTTTCTCTAAACTGATTTCCATACATTTCCTTTATTGCTGGTAAAGATAATTTGTTTAACAATCAAGACCTTTTTCACTTGTCGATCATTTCTCTTTTTCTCAAAACCTTCATGATGTATTGGGCAAACTATTAATTTTGGGGTCACTCTTAAATTGGGGGTTTAAGGGGTGAATCAAATATGCTAGCAGTCTTCGAACAAGTTGTTGTTTTTTTTTTAACTGGTTTTCAATTTTATCGTTTGTAGGTGGACTTGTCTGCTTTTCGCTTCGGTATAATGAAGTAGATGACTACAAACCGAAGATGACGGAGCTAGAGAAAGCTGGAATATGGGAAAAACTAAGCAGCAAGAAAATATCTTACTTCGAAAGTAAAGATTTGCCAAGTGACGCCTTTGGCTTCGTGTACAAAGTTTTAAAAAAATGAGCATGTAACAAACACTTCAATAATTTTATAGTTATAACTACGTAAAATGAATTGGATAATGTTCTGCGGGCAGTCCACTATTTATTTTACCAACTTAAACCACGGAAGTTTAAGCAAATCCGGGGAGTATGTAAAAATCCGTTAATGTTACTCTCTTGTCATTGGCCGTATTTATACTAGAAGACGTCTTAAACGTCTGACTGTTAAGTGCGTCATTAAGTGCGTCCCGTTTTTATACTAGACGTCTTAAACGTCTGAGACGACTAATTCATCTGTTAAGTGCGTCGATCGGACGCCCTTAACTTCAGACGTTTAATTCGTCTGACGTTTAATGCGTCTGTCTTATTTCCAGTATTTATACTAGACGTCTAAGTCGTCTAAGACGTCTTAGACGTCCTCTAGTATAAATACGGCGATTTTCCGTCTCATTTGCGTCCCGTTTCTATAGATATCCTGCACTATTGACGTCAATTTACCAGATATTGTGAACGATATCACAAACGTCTTGTTCATGAACGCTAGCTGGTTATGAAGAATAAGACGAGGGATTTGAGTCAATTAAAAACTAATTGAATGAATAAGGATATGGCACTGCTGAAAACCTGTGACGTCATTTACAATGGTTGCTATCTTGGATTGTTCTGTAATTTTAGACTTATCGAGGTTGAATTGTTTCTTAAAAATATTTAACCTGCGATTAGGAGGTCCTTCTTCATTTTTTCTTTGCGAGGCGAGAGGAAAAAGCTCCTCTTTTTTCCCCTTTGCCTGTCTACCGAATTTCGCGCTTCCCGAAAAAAAAGGCCTGATCGCCGGTTGAACAAATGTTATGTTATTTTATTATATAGACACGAGTGTTTTACTGGAAAATATACCACTCGTAAAATTCATAAAAACTACATCCGGGACCCGAGTGGTTTATTTTCCATAATCTCACACGTGAGTTTATCGATGACGTAATTTTGGTCATTTCCCTCTATTATTTTATCGATGTCATTTTGTCTATTTAATAAAAAGAACATTACACGGCGACTTGAAGATATGAATTTTATTTTCTCGTGTCAAAAACAATATTTTACTCTCTCGCTGCGCTCGTTCGTAAAATATTGTTTTGCCACTCGAAAATAAAATTCATATCTTCGCGCCACCGTGTAATATCCTGTATATATTTTTTGTTCATTGGGTAAAAAATATACAGTCGACGAACTTCCCGTAAGCGATACTCTGGATTTCAAGTGATAGGGATGATCGAAGGATTTTTCGGGTGGTTTGAAATTTTCGATTTCGGGATTTTTTGGGAAGAAAAAGTTTGGCAAGTAGTTTTTGAATTGGGTAGCTTGATTTAAGTAGGGATTTTTTGGGTATTTAAAACTATCTGAAGATTTGTGATAGTTCTCGCGTATCCCGGCCGCATAGTTCCTCTGGAAATTTTTATGGCTCGTAAATTCGGCATGGGATTTTTTGGGGTTTTGTTTGAAGCCCTAGGTATTTTTTTGGGTTTTGATTTTTGCCCATGCGATCATCCTTGTCACTTGAAATTCGAAGTGACACCGCCCCCTTGGATTTCGGCCTCCCTCAAAAAAGTTGATGCCGTGCGTTTTATATAAACAATAGGATACGCATCACTAGTGTAATGCCCTGCGGGCATGCACAGGCTTGAATGGCGGACTCTTATGACCTCACTTTACTCCGCTCTTCAAGCTTAGGAACACAGAACGTTACTTAAAGAGGTTCAAAAGGTCATCGTTTCCGATCTGTGATTGGTGGATTTCGATCCGTTTTGTGTCTCTGTGTTTCAAGGGTCGTTTCTTGTGATCGTAGTTTTGATTGACGGTGTGAAGGCGGCTTTTGAACTTTCGAGTTCGCGTGTTTCGCGTGTTTCTATTCGTCCAGTCCTTGAAACACTCAAAATGTGTTCCAACCCTATTCGGATCGGGGGTGCCACAAATACAATCGCATAAAGAAGCCCTACACACCTACACACAGGAGGCAGTCTTTGTTCATGACGAAACAAAGGCTGTTGTTTTCAAAAGCACTGGTTTCGAAATTCAGTGGAAACCCCTTGGGTGAAGTCGGCGAAGTTAGTTAACCCTTTAAGCCCCAATATCCACATACAAATTCTTCAAACTGATCTCTATACATTTCCTTAAAGAATGAGTTGAGAGAATTTGATAAAAGATCAAAGTATTTTCTCTTAGGTGATTATTTAATTAATTCTCATAACCTCAGCTCATGATAACAGTGTATGGGTATCGTTAGGACAAAATTGCTGTTGGTCACTATTGGGACTTGAAGGGTTAAAATCAGCAAGAAAAGTGGGTAAGTTGACTTTGTTCATAGCCTGTTACAGGCGTTCTGCTGAGAGATAAATCGACTACATTGTCTTTCTTTCCTCTCGTTAATTATTCAAACTGCTCACCACACCACCGTTACCTCAACGATCCTTCTATACCACAGTTACCACATGTTTGGGTTAAGAGTCGCGCCCTTTTGGCCTAGAAAACTGAGTTCACACACATAGTCTCCATGGCAGATGCGATTTGCGTTGAAATCATTCTTAAGACCGTTTCAACACTACGGATTTTAGAAGAGAGCTATAGCGTTAATTTCACGTTCATTCGTGTGTGAAACGCCGAAAAAACGCAAGGGAAATTTCATGAATCGAAAATCTAGATCTAGCCGGGGTCTCAAGGGGTCTTGTTTTGAATTCATATTTCATCTTTGCAAATCTTGTGGATTGAGTTTTTTGCATTTGGAAGAATGTCTGTGGTACTGCTTACAGACAGCGCATTCAAGCTGATAAGTTCCCCTGTTATTTCTTTGAGCTCCACTGAGTCGTTGCAATCAACAGTGAATCATACCATCATACTATAGAATAAATGTCATGCATCATCTATGTGACCTTGTATAATGTCGGCATTGTCGCTCTTGAGGAAAGTTTTCATCTTTGCCGGCTGAAAAACAACGAAAATTCGAAACCGCAACGGGAAAAGAAAATTGTTAGTCTAACCGTGGAGGGTCGCATTTGTGGGAGTTTAAAATTTTCTTTGCTTTGACACACTGAGAACTGAAAAAGGCCAAATGCCAGAAAACATTTTCTCTATGCCAGGAGCCCATGGGCTCTTGTCTACGCATATCTAATGGCACTTACTGATATAGATCTTCTAAATATGAAAAACAAACAAACAAATAAACAAAAAAAAAAACATGCAGTTGTAGACGATGCAAAGTTTTTATCTGCTTTTAGTACATGTAGTTGATAAACCTGCTTGATGGCGATCCGATATCGATCTGAAGGGTTTTACCTTTCCTTCCAACTTTACCTGAGCGTAAACGTGGCATTAGTCAACGAGCAGGCTAACCAGTTGTGCGAATTCGGGGAAAATTATTTTGGTGGCAGCCAAAAGTGAGCCTGGCTAACGTGGCTCAGGTTAGCTGTTTTTCTTAGCCCGGTTCCAGGCGTTCAAATAGTGGAGAGCGGAGAAGGAAAAAAAAGAGAAGATGCGGGGCGGGGGGGCGGGGGGGAGAGAGAGTGAGAGAAGTAGAGGGAAAGAAGAGGGCCAGACGCGCTCTCTCATCCCCATTCCTCTTAAGGCCCTTTCACCCCCCCCCCCCCCCCCCCCCCCCTTTTTTTTTTCTTTCTCCCCTTCTTTTCTTTTTTTCCCTCTCACCTCACCGCCGGGGTGGTGTGTGGGGGGGCGGTTGGTGTGGTGTTGGGGGGGGAGAAAGAGGTGGAGGAGGGGGGGAGAAGGGGAGAAGAGGAAGGGGAGGAGGGGGGGGGGGGGGGGGGGGGGGGGGGGGGGGGGGGAGGAGGTGAGGAAGGGGTGGGAAAGAAGGGGGCCAGGACCCCCCTTTCCCCCCCATTCCTTTTAAGGCCCTTTCCCCCCCCCCCCCCCCCCGATGTTTTTTTCTCTTGCTCACCTCTGTTTCTATGTGCTACCCTAGCCTGCGTAGCTGGCGGGATTAGCGTGGGACTGCTGTATTGTTTTGGCGGCGGAGCCGCGAGAAGGGTGGGTATACAAGTCAATTTGAAGTCCCTCCCTCGCGGCTTCGCAAAAAAGTTTCCCGGGCACAAGAATCCCGCCAACTACGCAGGCAAGTGCTACCCCCACTACCCGAACGTGCACCTGAAACTGCCTGTCATAAAGCTCGTATTCTTTGTTGACTACTGGGGGAAGCCAAACACGTATGCTCTTTTCTTTGCTGCCACCTAAAGCTCTTTTTCGTTATAGACCACTGGGGAAACTAATCACAATAAACTTAGTCCATATTTCTCCTTTCAGAATGGCCACCTCAGCTTACGAAGCCTCCTACAAAAAGTACTTTGGAGATAGATTTGATAAAATCACCAAAAACTCTTCAGATGAAGAAGTTCGCAATCTTTATGATAAGTGGGCAGCCGATTATGACAAGGTATCAATAATAATAGCTTGTTAAATCAGGTTGGCTTGTTTTCTAGGGCGTCAAACGAGAGCCTAGTCTCCCTCGCAGCCGTTTTTTGGATGTCACGCAACGCTCCCATCCAATAAACTGCTGCGAGGGAGACTAACGAGAGCCTTGCACGTCCCGTGTTTATGCAACTTCCTTGAAGCATTCCCTTTAACAATAATTCAAGTTATCTATATAGAGTGTACTTTATGTCACAACCAATCTCTTTCTAGATTTCCAATAAGATTCGTCTATATTCACCTTCCCCCTACATGTAGGCGGAAAACGACGAAAAAAAAAACATACCCCTCGTATTGTGCCCCCTCTGGCATGGTTGTCGTGCCGGAACAAAAGCAAGAGATTATTCGCTCTTGGTAAAAGCTATCCGTTATAGCGTGAATATTACCTTAGAGAACACAAACTTGAATGTTCATTTAAGTAATGATGGAAGTTTTCTTCTTTTAATGGTATGCCCATGCAGGAAAATGCTGCCGCTGGCGGGTGCTTCAATAAACCAGTCGCTGAATGCTTGGACTCCACCGTGCATCAAGTCTTTCCCAACGCACCGAAAGATCAGCTGAAAATCCTCGATGCTGGAGCTGGGACAGGGCTGACAGGATTCGAACTTCATAAACTCGGCTACACTAATATTGACGCTCTAGATATCTCGCAAGAGATGCTGAATGTAGCTAAGGAGAAAGGCGTGTACAGGAGATATGTCTGCTAGTTCTCTGACGGAAAAGAAGATTGATGAGTTTGAAACAGGCGAATTTGATGCTCTGATTGCCACTGGTGTCCTAGTGAAAGCTCATGTTCGTCCAGCGGCATTTGTAGAAATGATTAGGATGGTGAAGGCAGGTGAGTCTTGATCCAGAACCACCCACCGTAAACAGTTGTCCCTTGCCAACGGAAGAAATCAATACCGCAGATTGTTTTCGATTGGTTTTGTCTATGTCTTAGTCTGAATATTTGTACACTAGCAGAATCGACAGAAAGAGACTGAATAGAGAGGTTAACCATCACGTTTACTTCAAACGGCAAACGCGAATTTACATCACGTGACCAATTTCCTCTTTACTTGTCGTTTACTTTTCATTATTTCTAGAAATAAATTAGTAGTTTCAGGTAATTTTTTATCCATAAGAATTGTCTTAAACTGTTTTTATCTGCTCATTTTAATTCTATTTTGAAAAATTCTCAATTTGAATCTGACTTTTGCCGTTTGCCGTACCTCCGTGAAGCTTAAACTCTCTATTGTCGACATGCGCTGGAACGCTAGCTACCTACCTAATTCTCCTCACGTGATTGTAGTTCAGCGAGTAGAAAATATTCTATCAGACATTTACACCTTTTAATCCGTTTTAGAGGCTACTAACAAAAAGATTAACTTTTTGACAAACTCTCATCTCAGGATCTCAGGTGTAATTCTAGCTAGCCTGTTGACAAGCTCTGTGGACACCAACCGGAAGGACCTGTCGCCAGGGTAACTAGCAGTTTTTTTGGAGAGTGCGCGCGTGAAGGAGCGGAGAATAGAGAACAGACGCGAGGGAGACGTTTTTGAGCTATGCACGTCAACCGGAACTGGATGTTTTTCCTTGGACAATGGCTTTGCCCAAATTTTCGGGCAAGTCGTGCGAAAGAGTAAAGATTACACCTAGTTATACAACGCTGGTGGTGTCAAGGCGAAAAGGCCTAACTTCCGGTTTGGGTGCGTCGCTCAAAAAAACGTTTGCAGAAGCTCCCCAATCGCAGCTTCTACGCTCGTCCACGCGCGTGCTGCCCCAAGAACTGCCAACTACGCAGGCTATATTGCCTGTCTTTCCAATCTCCTTTAAATATGCTCCTACTATGAGCCAAGTTGCAAAATATAAAATACAAATTGTTATTTTATACCAAGTCTAACGTTATTTTTATCGTTGATAGGTGGCCTCGTCTGCTTTACCCTTCGATTAAGTGAAGTAGATGACTACCAACCGAAGATGACGGAGCTAGAGGAAGCTGGAATATGGGAAAAACTCTGCCACAAGAAGATCCCTCATTTTGACAAACCTGACATGCCCAGTCACCTCTTCGGCTTCGTGTATCAAGTTTTAAAGAAATAAACTTTAAAAGATTAAGTATAATCAACTGAGTTGATACAGAGCTGTTACAATTAAGGTTTTATTAGGAGCTACTATCATGAGTAATCAAAAGAATTCTAAAGTTGTTTCTTACGCCACGTGGCTTTGGTACGGATTATATTATCCTTCCTTGGTACTACACAACTCATGTACATTGACTTGTGTGACTTCTCATTATCACAGCAAGTGTGGCTATAATTCCGTAATAAATGAAGAGGTATGGAAAATCTTTGGAATTGGAAGATTTTAAGGCGTCACCGCATAGTTGGTCGCTTATGGGAGGTGGTAGCTTACGAGAGGTGGTCACACATGGATGTTCGACTTAGATGTTATTATAAATACCCTATGGTATTGCATAGGGCTGCAATGGGAACAATGGAAAGTCGTTTTGCACTACCACTCCGCAGTTTTTCAAGCGAATATGCCCGAGAAAAGAAAATAGCCAGGCGTGTTTCAAAACGCTTGAAAGCCTTGCTTACGATTTCTACGATGGTTCATGTAAGACAGACTGCGTCTTTCTGGTTCAATTTTTCACGTTTTATCAGGAGCTCATGGTTTCAGGTTCTGAACATCCTCACCCGCCGAGGGAGGGGAGGTACTCAACAAAAAGTTTTTTACAGAGAGTCTCAGCTCCGTGATCCCCGAGGTCCATACCCTTACCTATTTATACACCGTTTTCTGACAGAAATTGTCATATGCAATCGTCTGCCGTACTTTCAGTCCATTGAAATGTGGTACCTCCTTTACATACCTACTAATTGGAAGTCTCCTCATCGACACTTTCTCCCATGGGGAGCTACTCAGAGAATTCTTATACTGGCTGAGGCTCCGCCCCGAGGTCTACCCCTTTATTGAATTTTTATACTATACCATTTCTGACAAGAAAAGGTCCCCTTTTCTTAACGCTCTCTTGAAATATGCTACTTTATTCCTGCCCTATCGTAGTCTCCCTCCCGGCCGTTTTTTTGGATGTCACGCAACGTTCCTCCAACGTCGCGTTGCAATTGCGTGACATCCAAAAAACGGCTACGAAGGAGAATAGGGCTATCGTAACTAAATCGAAAAATTTCAGTGTTTATTAACGGTGTTTGTATTTCATTTTTGAAAACAATACTTCCTACACACACTTACTCTTGGTTGGAGGTCTTCTTGTCAAGTAAAAAGAATAAAAACGATACAGCCATAATGTGCTCCTGTCATAGGTCTTTAAAAAAACCTAGACGACGAAATTCTCTGCCCGTCACATACTGTGGGATCCCTTTTATACTGATCTGAGGCCAGGTAAATATAAACCCTCCTGGGTGGAGCCTCCGCGCACCCCCCCCCCCCTTCCCCCATGGCCAGCCGAAATATTGAAAAAAGAAAAGACAGAAAAAAACAATGTGAAAAACAATACACGTTGTTCTGATCAACTTTGCGATAGTCAGTTAAACTTCTCGATTTAGCTGATCAGAACAACGCGGAGTTTCGGCTGGCCGTACCAGCCTTCTTCAGGTTGAATTTATAGATGGAGAATGTCGCAATAAAAATTGAACCCTGGTGGGGGGGACCCGTCCGTTTTCGAGTAGATACCCCTGAACAGCGAGATGTAAAGCGAAACGAATAAGGATCATAAAATATACCGGGGTTCCCTAATTTAAACCGGGTAGAGATGAAATTCAGGGTTTGGAGACCTCGGTTGCGCATCGCTATCTCTATTGCCCCCTCTCCCCTGTTGGGTTAGGGTTTGGAAATGGGCACCCTACATTGAAGTGTCTCAATATTGTTTTCAAGTTATATTCATACTGGCACGCTGGAAGTATCGAGAAAGTAAATTACCAAGCTGTCAGCAATGAACCTAAATTAAATTATATTGCAAAATCGCACAGCATAGAAGTATGCACCAGACATATCATTTCATTCAGTAAATTCACTATGGACTTTGTGTTCAGGGTTGTCAGGAAATCTCCTTTCGCGCGTCATTTACTACCAAAAATCACGCAATATCTAGTCACGCTTTGATTGAAAATTCATTTTTTTTGTCGATTTCGGAATTGCATTTAACGTCTGTGGTTTATTAGAAACAAAATACTTATGTCACATTTATGTCGTAGCGCTGCGCTTTTTTTTATCGTGATACTCAGCGGTAGCATTTGTGGAGGAGAGAGTTTCTTGCGAAAGAAAAATTTCGACCGTGGAAATGTGTTGGATTTGATTTCGTTTTGTTCGTTATTGTTTTCCTTTTCCACCCGCCGATAGGGACGAAACGTCCATAGCGGGGCGGCTAGACAGAAATTTGTTTATGATTTTGTATTATTTTATGTTGCCCCTATCACCCCTCCCTCTAAGCACCAGAAAGACCACACGTGCAAATAAAAATAGCACGTTTACGCAATCGGCGATTATATATTCAGAGCACCAGATCCGAAAAACAATTACATACTCGCCGATCGACATACGCTGAAATCGTCCAGAAAAGCGGGGAAACGTCGATTAAACTCGAAGATACATCAGTGCAAGACAGTAAGTTGAATTATATACTCTGAAGTGTTAGCTTTGACGTTTTTCATAAATGTTAAAGCTTTATTCTCGTCCTTTTGATACAATAATATTCAAACCTGTTATGTTGTAGCACAGTTGTAGGCCCAAATTCAAGTTTTTTTCCCCGAATTTCATTATCTCGGAGAAATGTGAAATGTAGAATCAAGTCAACAAGCCTAAAAGTGCTCAGTAGCTTGAAAACTAGAGTTTAGTCCTTTCCGATTCTTGTGTACTGTAGAAACATAACTTCCTCGAGCCTCTAGCGATTATTTTTCGTGATTAATTTACAGTCGTAGCTTTCTGTGTACCGGTTAATAGATTTATCGTAAGCCAAGTACAAATAACTATTCAAATTTGGGTAGAAAAAAAATTGTTTTCTGCGATGTGCTTTGCACCTGAAAGGACCTTGGAGCTTGCCAAGCGGAAAATTACTTGAATTGCACGTGCTGTGATTTTACTTCATTCTCGTAATTTTACGACAGTAGAATTCTATGTTTATGCAATCCCTTTCACTTTCATGTGATATTATCATACATAAGAATTCAATCTCTGTCTGTGCCAATCTGCAAGCTTTAGCTGCGGTCTCTACGTAAGGTATTTATAATCTTAACATTGCTGGTTTCTCTACTTTTTTTTGCTATGCAAATCACGTTTTTGATGACAACCGAGTGGTTTAGAGACAAAGACATTTTGAAGTCTTTGGATGGGGTTTAATTGAAAGCTGAGAATTAACCAAAATTTTATTTGTCCTCCCAGGGATTCTGTTTCTTCTTTCGTGGTTGTTTTTGCTGTTTTCTTGGGTTTTATTTTTTCTTAAGATCTAAAAACATAGCTGACGGTTGACACCCGGGAGTTCGAAGACATAATCTGTCACGCACCCGGCATTGCGTGACAGAAAGAGGGGCTCCCCGAGAATGGCTAACAACGGCCAGAAAGTTGTCTCTGTATTTATAAGCCGGAGGAGGATAACTTGGGATGTGCAAGGACGAGGTTTAAACAACCTTACATAAGGCAATGTTTGCTTTTATGAGAAATTACAATGTGTGATTTCATTCTAGAAATTAAGCTCATTTCAAAACAGCTTGTGTCTTAAGCAATTTCACAATAGCTATTTTGCAACCTGATTTCAGGGAACCATCCATAATTAGTCCTTTTGTCTTTTCAATCTTTCAGAATGGCCACCTCAACTTACGAAGCGTCGTACAAGAAATATTTTGGCGACAGATTCGACAACATCACCAAAAACTCTTCAGATGAAGAAGTTCGCAATCTTTATGATAAGTGGGCAGCCGATTATGATAAGGTATCAATAATCTCCTTAAGCTACAACCACGATAAAAACTCTTGGGACAACCTACTCACTTTCCTCACCCCTCCCCCGCCTCCGGTGAAGTATAATGTATCGGGAGGCATTGCATAAAAGTTGCTCTTTGCTTTTTTTTGTTTTATCTCTGGGGCATGATTTTGATGAACACAAATTGAACTGTACAATCATGATGACTGTTTTTTACATGATCCATTCAGGAAACATCGAGAGCGGGCTTGAGCTTCAACAAGCCTCTGGCCGAATGCTTGGACGCCGCTGCAAGGCAAGTCTTTCCTGAAACTCCGAAAGATCAGCTTAAAATCCTCGATGCTGGAGCTGGGACAGGCCTAACAGGAGTTGAGCTTTATAAACTCGGCTACACGAATATCGAAGCTTTGGATATCTCACAAGAGATGCTGAACGTAGCTGAAAAGAAAGGCGTGTACAAAAGATTTGTTTGCACTCCTCTGACAGAACAAAGGATTGCAGAGTTCGAGACCGGCGAATTTGATGCTCTGATTTCTGCAGGTGTCCTGGTAAAAGCTCACGTTCGTCCAGCGGCCTTTGTGGAGATGATTAGGATGGTGAAAACTGGTGAGTCTTGTCTAAGTTTCATTTTGTTTTCGTGGTGAGAGAGAGAGAGAGAGAGAGAGCGTAGCTGGAGTGCCGCTATAACGGAGCTTAAGCATTGACGACAGCTACGGTGGCGAAAACGTCTCTTTTAAAACGAAACCGTTTTTCTTCAAATTTTGCGGCATTCAGTCCAATTTGCTGAAAATGTCGAATGTATACAAATATCCGATTTCTTAGGGACTGTACTCAAGTTTAAGTGAAAGACAATTTCGTCGTGACTTCACAAAACGTGATTGATGGCAAAGAAATTTACAAATGAAGTGTGCCACACGTGCAAAATTGATGTTCTGGAACCGGTTCCTGAGAGGCCGATTAGCACTAATCCAGGATTATAAATTTGTTTTGTTTTTGTATTTTACCTTCCAATGTATTTTATTTGTGTTATGATATCATTATGATATCCCAGAGTAAAGGCTTAACAGTATTTTGTAAGCTGAAGTTGTATTTATTAGACAAGAAAACCTTGCTTAAAATTTGGCTTAATCCTGGGCTAAACTTAACCATCTTTCGAGGAGCTGTGAGTTAAGAAGTTGTAAAGTTAAGAACAAATATACCGCAACGTGACAATGTACAGCGTTACATAGTCACTTAGCCTGGTTTAGGTAATTATATTGCAAAATATTATTGACCAACTTTAGTCTCAAGTACTTTAAGTATCTTGTACGTTATCACCCCAATAGACCTCTTAATTTGTTTTCCCAATAGAGGTCCCAGGGGAATTTAACCATTTGTCTTTTCATAATTTATGCGTCGATATGCACGTGAATGAGACGAAATTTGAAAGAAACAGTTCCCTAGAGTATGATCACATGACCTGTATTGGGAAAACAAAACGTACAAGCTTTGCCGCAGCGGGAAGCTCTGTTCACAGGCCTTACTTTTACGCAAGATCGTGGTCACTTGACATCCTCAGGGTTTAGCCTAGTCTAACTGTTATTAAATCATTTATAGGTGGCCTTGTCAGCTTTACACTTCGGTATAATGAAGTAGATGAATACCAACCAAAGATGACGGAGCTAGAGGAAGCTGGAATATGGGAAAAACTCTGCGGCAAGAAAATTTCTTATTTTGAGAATAAAGACATGCCCGGTGACGGCGTCGGCTTCGTTTACAAAGTTCTAAAGAAGTGATTATTTCCAGAATTTAGTTTCACGTAGGAAATACAAAAGGCTCGCGATAAACTTGTGCATGTCCTTTAGTTCTATCGACTTCTACCTCACAGCAGGGGCGTAGCTACTTGTGCGCACGGTACGCACGCGCGTACCTGAAAAAGACGAGGGTAAAAATACAGTACAAAAAAGCAACATTGATAATTATAAAAGATAAATTTTAAAAAAGTACGGTTTGCCTCAATTTATTCAACTCTGCTTATTCTTTTTTTTTTTATCGCAAACAACGTGCAGATAGCAAGCTGGGATGGTATAACGCGTGAAAGCGTTGTTTTTACTTCGGCCGGTCTTCGCAGTTCCGGACTAAATAGTTAATAAAGGTAGACATTATAGTCTGAGATATTGGCTTAATCAATGATGAGCGTTTGAGGTGTTACAACTTACGTTATTTCCAATTCGTATACAGTAAAAAACGCTTAGGCCTACAACGTAGCGTCACCTTTGATCAAGGAACCGAAAAAGATTTGGGACTTGGGGTTTAGGGGGTGGGGGCCGGGTTTGGATTTGGAAATTTGTGCGTACCTCT